GCTCCTGAGCACTCGTAGGATTTGCTCTTACCCAAGAGAAATTCTGGATACGAGATAAAATCATGAATACAACAATCTTCGTAAAATACAGTACTCGTTAGTAGGATTTACGTACAAATTTGTTCTTAAGAACAGTTCGTGAATGAGGCCCAATGTTTTTTGTCTATAGCATCTACAGTATTTTAAATACAGCGGATGTGGCTTTCTGATTAACTTAATTACAAATAAATATCAGTCATTATTTTAGGCCATTAAAATAAAATGTTCTTGTCCTTTCAAGTTTTAGAATGTCAAACAATATCTGAAGTAGAATCTATATGGTGAAACAACAGTTTCACATACTGAAACATACTTTTTGGCTCCAACTCCTACCACTACCATCAGGAGAAGGTGTTTATTCTGTTTTTGTTATCTTCAAAAAATACTTTCTGCAAACACATCAATGCAATTGTAAAGAACGCAACTTCAGTTGAGAAATTGCCTAAGAAAAGATAGACTTTATTGATCTCACACAGGAGAAATTTACATGTCACATCTGGCATGGATAGAAACACTCAAGATTGTGCAATAGAAAGAAATGTGCAAACATGTTACATAAAAAGTGGCAATTTAAAAGTGGCAATCAAGAAACAGTGTCAATAGTAGTGCAAGTTTTCAGTCCTAATGCAAGTGACTTATAGTGACTTATTGTAGAGTCTGACAGCGGTGGGGATAAAGGCCCTCGGTAGCGCTCCTTCTTGCACTGAAGGTGCCTCAGTCTTCCACCGAGAGAGCCCCTCAGCTCCTCTACAGTCCTGTGCAGTGGGTGGGAGGTGTTGTCCATGATGGAGGTGACTTTGACTAGCACCCTCCTGTCCCCCACCTCCTCCACAGAGTCCAGGGGGCAGTCCAGAGTGGGGCTGGCCCTCCTGACCAGCTGGTTCAGTCTACTCCTGTCCCGCTCTGTGCTGCCCTGGGCCCAGCACACGGCAGCGTAGTGTATGGCAGAGGCTACCACAGAGTAATAAAAAGTTCTGAGCAGAGGCCTGCTCACTCCCAAGGGCCTCAACCTTCTCAGAAGGAAGAGGTGACTTTGGCTCTTCTTGTACAGGGTGTTGGTGTTATGGGACCAGTCCAGTTTATTGTTAATGTGAACACCCAGGTACTTGAAGCTGTCCACCAGCTCAATGTCCTCCTCCTGGATGTTCAGCAGTGTGTGGAGAAGTGGTTTTCTCCTGAAGTCGATTACCATCTCCTTGGTCTTACTGATGTTCAAGCACAAGTGGTTGCGCTCACACCAGTCGACAAAGTCAGTGATAACCGACTGATATTCCAGTTCATTCCTCTCAGACAAACAGCCCACGTTGGAGAACCTCTGCAGGTGGCAGCTGGTTGTGTCGTATGTGAAGTCTAAAGTGTAGATGGTGAAAAGAAACGGTGAGAGGACAGTGCCCTGAGGGGCCCAGTACTGCAGACTACCACCTCAGACTCACAGCTGCGCAGCTGCACCTACTGTGGTCGGTCCGAGAGGTAGTCAATGGTTCATGCAGTGAGGTTACTGTCCACTCCCGCGTCCTCCATCTTCTACCGCAGCAGTGCCGGTGTAGCAGCAGAATATACCCAGGGTTAAAGTAGCCTAGGCCAGATTACACCCCGGGGTTAAAATAGCCTAGGCCAGAATAAACCCCGGGGTATAAACTGGCCTAGGCTATTTTAACCCCCCATAGGCCAGATTAACCCCCCCTTTCATTTTATATAATAACAATAAAATGCCCATTTTTAAGGAATCCTTGTAATGAATACAAGTGTATTTAAATATAAAACAATTTACAGAAAAAAAGGACTGCACTCTGTGCGTTCATCACAGGTTTTTTATTCAAAAACAACAGTTGACGCATCAGCAGTCTCACCAAGGAAGCAAGATGTAACTCTTCCATGATCAAATGAGACGGCAGGAAACGCATCGAGCCCAAGAAACTCTTCGACACGACACCATTGATATGCACAGTGAAGCAGTGAAGCAGCGGCTGAGGAGTCCGAGACACTGACACGTTTGTCACGTGACCGGTTGTTTTGATACACGCTCCGATGCAGTGTTTCGAAGCAATTTACTTTATATAACAGCAGTATTTGTTCACGGAGGTGACTTTATATAACAGCAGTATGTGTTCACGGAGGTGACTTTATATAACAGTATGTGTTCACGGAGGTGACTTTATATAACGGCAGTATGTGTTCACCGAGGTGACTTTATACAACAGCAGTATGTGTTCACGGAGGTGACTTTATATAACAGCAGTATGTCTTCACGGAGGTGACTTTATATAACAGCAGTATGTGTTCACCGAGGTGACTTTATACAACAGCAGTATGTAGGTGTGAAAGCCCCATAAGATGAGTTATTACATGAAACATGTGAGAAGTAGGTAGATACATCACAAGCAAAGTGTGAAAAGCAATCACACTTATTCGGGCTGCAGGAATTAATTAACAAACTATACTTTTAAATGATTTTAAATTTATATTCAATAACGTATATTTTATTATTATTAGATGAAACAAGAGGGGGGTTAATCTGGCCTAAGGGGGGTTAAAATAGCCTAGGCCAGAATAAACCCCGGGGTGTATTCTGGCCTAACCCCCTGGCCAGTTTTACACCCCAGGGTTTATTCTGGCCTAGGCTATTTTAACCCCCTTTAGGCCAGATTAACCCCCCTCTTGTTTTATCTAATAATAGAATATACGTTATTGAATATATTTTTAAAACTTCAAAATCATTTAAAATAATTTAGAAGTAGTTTGTTAATTAATTACTGCAGCCCGAATAAGTGATTGCTTTTCACACTTTGTTAGTGAGGTGATGACTCCATGTATCTACTTACTTATCACATGTTTCATGTGATAACTCATTTTATGGGGCTTTCACACTGGATCATGCTTCGTCGACTTTCAATGCAAAGTCAATGGGGACGTGTATGTGCATCTCGGGATGCACGCACGGACTGCGCGGTAGAGACGCATGAACTGTGTGGCAAAGGTGCAGGAGCGGAAAATCAACGCACGCAGGAGATAAATATATAGCTGAGCGTTTCCTCGGGGCGCACATACAGCGACCAATCAGAGAGCCGCAAAGTGGTCACATGGACATTAGTCTGAGCAAGCAAACTGAACATACTGTAAACAGTCAAAACAGGAGCTTCATCAGGACAAAACCAGCACTAAACCAGGACCAAACTAGGTCTAAACCAGGACTAAAACCAGGAGTGAACCAGGACTAAACCAGGACTAAAACCAGGACTTAACCAGGGTTGACAATGGGGGACATAGTTCTTGTGAACATATGAGTTTTCATGCTCCCATGACTTTAGGCAACTGCTTCGAGCGTGTTCGCCGATGCGGAAGTACCGTTTAGTAATAAAATAAACTTATGGCGCACCTCCGTGAACACATACTACTGTTATATAAAGTCACCGTGAACACATACTGCTGTTATATAAAGTCACCGTGAACACATACTGCTGTTATATAAAGTCACCTCCGTGAACACATACTGCTGTTATAAAAAGTCACCTCCGTGAACACATACTACTATTATATAAAGTCACCTCCGTGAACACATACTGCTGTTATGTTGTATTTTATTGTTATTATATAAAATGAAAGGCGGGGTTAATCTGGCCTTTGGGGGGTTAAACTAGCCTAGGCCAGTTTATACCCCGGGGTCTATTCTGGCCTAGGTTATTTTAACCCCGGGGTGTAATATGGCCTAGGCTACTTTAACCCCGGGTATATTCTGGCGGGTGGTTAATCTGGCCTGCTACACCGGTCTGATGGTGTTGAAAGTGCTGGAGAAGTAAAAAAAACATGACCATCACAGCGCTCCCGGCGGGCTCCAGGTGAAAAGAGCGTCCGCTGCAGATGACAGCGTCCTCTACTCCAATGTTGGGCCTGTAGGCGAACTGCAGCGAGTCCAGGGTGGGGCTGACCACAGAGCGGAGATGGGTGAGGATGAGCAGCTCCATGGTCTTTATCAGGTGGGAGGTCACTGCGACTGGTCTGTGGCGAGCCGGTTTCCGTGCGCTATTTTAGGAACCAGGATCACACTGAAGGTCTTCCACGGGACAGGGACCTTCTCCAGGCTGAGGCTCAGGTTGTAGATGTAGCTGAGGACGTCAGAGAGCTGGTCTGCCCAGGTCCTCAGCAGCCTGGGACTGATCCTGTCCGGTCCTGCGGATTTCCTCTGCTTCAGTCGCTTGAGCTGACTCCTCACCTGGTCCGGTGTGATGGAGAGGGCGGAGTGGGGGGGGGACTGGGGTGTACTGTCAGAGGTGGGGGCTGGGGATATGGGGGCAGGAGTGTAGGAGGGCCCCAGGCAGCCGAAGGCAGTGTCCACTGGGCTGGAGGCGTGTAAAGAGGGGGGGCGGGAAGGCAGATGGAGAGGGGGGAGAATCAAACCGGTTTAAATATTGGTTAAATTCATCCTCCCGGCGCTGGTCTCCATCCACTGTCCCTCTGGCACTCTGTCCGAAACCGGAGATGTTCTTTGGGCCTCTCCACACGTCACGGGCGTTTCCCTATGCCAGCATCTGCTCCAGCTTTTTCCCATAGTCCTTCTTATCCCTCCTAATCCTCCACTGGAGCTCGTGCTGGATCCTCTTCTGCTCTTCTTTGTCCCCTGAGATGAAAGCCCTTTTCTTGAGGTTCAGGAGGGTGTTTCAAGCTCAGGGGTCACCCATGGGTGGTTGTTGGAAAAGCACCATAAACCAATTCATGAACAATACTTTTGTTTTATAAAGCAGAAAACTGCTGAGTATGATGTCATAGTGGTACAATGACATCATACTATAACAGGACAAGAGCTTTTTCACAGAAGCAAAACAACAGGTCTTTTATGTTTCAACATGGTTAAAAGCTAAAAAAGGGGGATTTTGCAGAATATACTGTATATAATAAAAAAATTAAAAATTATTAGGAGACAAATATATGTTGCCCTATCTCATATTTCTGTGGTTCTCTGTCAGGATACGCCATGGGCTGGGGCCCCATCACCTGGCTGCTGATGTCAGAGGTGTTGCCGCTGGTGACGAGGGGTGTGGCCTCAGGGCTGTGTGTGATGGTGAGCTGGCTGACGGCCTTCGCGCTCACGTACGCCTTCAGCCACATGTTGGATTACGGCCTGTACGTGCCCTACCTGCTCTTCACCGTGGTGTGTGTCCTTGGCTTGCTCTTCACGGCCGTGTGCATCCCAGAGACCCGCGGGCGCTCGCTGGAGGAGATTGAGAACTACTTCAGGACGGGACGCTCCTTCACTATCACCAGCCGCAGCCCCTCCCTGCTGAATTCCACCTGAAAAAGGACCATACAAATCTTTGGACTTGTTCACAAACAAACTTACTTACTTATTTGCCTCTAATATCACTAACAAACAATAAACTCTTATATAGAGCAAATTTTCAAGCAATTCACTGGAAAGTATTTATCATAACTACTGTATGATGTGGACCCTGGTTTTGAGATTGTGAGAAGAGGATAGTGCGTGACTATTTGCGAAAAGTATCTAATAAGTATGTAACTGTAGTAGTGGTAATACAGTGTGTGTGGATGGGCAGCACGGCGATACAACGCTGGTCTTGTGTTCCATTTCACCTTCAAGGCTTTCTGTGTTGAGTTTACACGTTCTCCCTGTGTCTGTGTATGGTTTCCTCTGGGTTATCCTTTTTCGCGTACCAGATACAGATAAACCAAAAATCATAAAGCGCTTTATGCGAACTTGGTTTCTGAAATGCGCTACTATACAGTACATAACTGCGGTGAAGTTAGTTTTATATTGGATATTCGACACATTCATATAATCTATTTAGCCATTTAACCTTTTGACCTTTTGATTTCAAAACATGTTGGGTTTATGCCTCCTGGTCCCGCACACATGAAACAAAGCTTAATTTTTCAATATACCCTTTTGTTGATTTTTTTGTTATAAAAAAATCCCTTAAATCTAACGTGTTTTGATGTCAACGTGTTTTGATATCAAAACGTTGGGTTTATGCATTATTATGTGTATTTAAGTAGCATTGGATTTTCCTCATATTAACATTATTTCTGTATATGCAAAATAAGCTTTGTTTCATGTGTGAGGGACCAGTAGGCATAAACCCAACATATTTTAAAATCCAAAGGTCAAACGGTTAAATGACTAAATAGATTATTTGAATGTGTTGAATGTGTCAAATATCCAATATAAAACTAACTTTACCGCAGTCAGTAAAATCCAGGCGTTGTACATTCTGTGATGGGAGCATGGATCTATGGATGGGAGACAGTGAGGCGGTCAAACTCTCAAACATAGATATCTCCTCATAAGTGGAGCGTGCGTGCCAGGTGAGTAATTAGCATAGGTCCTTGGACTGCAGGGCCGTGTACAAACGCCAGACGAAACAGCAACATGCCTATAGAAAAGAGTATGGAGGACCAAAATGATATATAAATAAATAAATGTATTAATAAATGTTCAATTATTTGTCATGTTTATTTGAAAATAGTTTTAATTTGCAAACAAATGCATGCGTGTTTATATATAACATATAATGTTTTACATAAATATAAATCCTCTTTAGTTTAGCATATGGCTTGGAAGGTAAGACTCAGGGAAGGCTAAACTCCTCAGACTGTCAGTCAAGCTGCATAGGGAGTCAGTTTGCTGGGAGAAGTATGGTAACTTGAGCACTATCCTCTCCTCCTTCCTATTTTATCTGTTTAGCATTTTTAGGATTTTGACTGTAGTTTGTTCATTGCTATTCACCCGTTGTCCCATTGTCTGTTTCATGGTACGATGACGGGATCTCTGAGCCTGGCCTCCTCCATAATCCGTGTATCATTCGTTCTTTTGATTTTCTAAATAAAACCAACATTGAAAAAACGAATAACAAGGGATGTTTTTGATTCTCAATATTTGAATTTAATGCAAAATTGAAATATTGGTTTGTTTTTTTGTTTTCTGTGGATCCAATTAAAACGAAAATGCAGTAAACCAATAATGACCGTCTAAATTACATTTTGCGATTTTCCTTTGAAACACAAACGTCCCCCGGAAGTGATTCGAAAGTGCGCGTTTGTCACGAGACCAGGAAGTGTCGCCTCCAGGTACTTGGATCGCACCTTGTTAGCGCTGGTTGTAGGAGAAATGTCTCTTAAAACTCTCCTCAACATCAGTCAGATAACCAGCTTTTTCGTTCGCTGCTGCAGAGACCATCGCAGATGAGAATTCTCAGATTCACGAGAGAAGGGGTTCTTCGATGAAAAATATATACACAAGTGTCAAGGTAAGACATAACTTAGCAACTAGCGCTAACAGCTAAGTTAGCATTAGCTACGACAAACATGAAACACTTAGCGTTACACATGTAACAAATGTACCTAATGTGAGTGCTTTATTATTATAAGTGTATGTTATAGACTTTCATATTATATAAGGACATGATATGTTTGTGTATTCGTGAAAGTAATCATGCTAAATTTTAGTAAATAAAAGATGATGCTAGATGTACCTTAACCATTCAGTTGTGCTTTGTTTCTGCTTCATTCTCAAATATTGTCGAGGGACAGTAGTTAGAGCTAGATGCTTCAGGCTTATGAAGAGAAACGAGGAGCCCTCAGACTGCAGGTTTGAAACAGTCAGAAAGACTGCAGGTTTGAAACAGTCAGAAAGACTGCAGCTTTGAAACAGTCAGAAAGACTGCAGGTTTGAAACAGTTAGAAAGACTGCAGGTTTGAAACAGTTAGAAAGACTGCAGCTTTGAAACAGTCAGAAAGACTGCAGGTTTGAAACAGTCAGAGCCGCTGGGCTCATGTTCAGTTTGAGTTCCTGTCCTGATAGAAGACTAGCAGAGCATCTTTCTGTTTGGTGGTTACTATTTCTCTTCTGACTTTATAAGATAGTTAAGTTATAACAAGTAATAATTATATGTCTGTTCTAAACCCACTTTTCTGTTTTAGATCTCACTGGGTGTGCAGGAGGTAAAGGTTTCAGACTTCACACTACTCCCAGCCTTGGCCTGTACCAGTGATCTGCAAAGCTCTCCAGCTGGTCCTGGCCTGTACCAGTGATCTGCAAAGATGGATGTGTTTATGTCAATGCAATAAAATTAATAATAACTGATCTACAAATCTCCTTTTTGTTCCTTTACATTTTAAACTTTCAACTCGTGTTTATCATTGTAAATTTATGTTACAAAATTAGAATCATTGCATGAAAAAGCACCTACTCATCAGTGTACATTATGTTCTGTCACATTTGAAAGTGTAAAAACTGTTCTTAAATCCAGTTGTCCTGGTCTTAATGGGCATTACACACGCAGTGACCTCACAGATAGAGATGTAAACTGTATGGTCAATCTAACATGTGTTCTGTGAATGTAAAAACCTCCTTGTTCCAGTCTTTTTGGGCTCCTTTATTCACAAACCAACTGTGGCGGAGCTACAAGCAGGTCAGTCTGCAGAGGTGAACAGTTTCTCAATGAGGACACTGCTGAAGATCCCAGACACAGTCGTCCAGTCAGATGTTTGCTGAGTGCAGTGTGCGCTCCTTTCCTACGTCACTGCTACTATCAGTCATGTGTAGAGTCATGATGGTACCTAATAGTATTGTACAGTCCCTGGTTTGCCCTTACATTAGCTCAGTCAGGGTCACTTCTAAACTTTGGAGTCACTGGCTTCTTTGTTTGTGTGACTTGCTGTAAATATGTGATTATGTGTCTTTTTAACACAGCTTTTTATTTTTTTTATTCTTTCATTCTTAGCTCTGGATTCTGTGCTTGCATGTAGGTCCTTAGTAAAGTCTAAAAATTGGACCCATGTTGCTGCTGAAAGGAAGTCTGAGGTGTAAGTTGTTTTGTAAAGGTACATTCAAATACACAACTTGTCATTTTAGTCTTGTTTAGTTAAGAATGTCATTTCCTAATTCATAAATCTATTGATACATAATCCACTAACAGTATTTGTTTTAACGGGTTTTCCATTGCTATTCAACACAATTTAGAAAAAAAATGTACGGAATTGTGTCCAAGTGTGTTTTAATTTGGGAACAAATCAAAAATATTTACACTGGAACAGACACACAGAAGATTTACATACATGATGAATTTAGTCTTTGGCCTTCATAATTTGCCAAAACACAACAAGCTGTGATTCCTGAGCCTCGGAGACACAGAATCCCTCTTGAATGTTGCAATAAAATTATTCCAGGAAAAAGAGATGGAGCAGCAATAGTTTTAAGGCGGCTGATATGTAAAAATATATATATATGTATGTATATATTGGGCAGGAACATGATCCATGTTTAATGAATACATTTACTCAGAATACCTTTCTCTGAGCCACTTCAAAAAGTTTGCTTTCGTGATTAACCACTGTATCAAGCTGATAACTTGACATTTGGACAAACCTAGTCGGTGTAACGTGGTTGATATTTCTGCATATGTTTGAATGTTTTAGAAGCATTCTATCGCTGTATCTGCAAAGTCTTCCAACGCACCCATCATTTAGTTCATCTCCACCGCTACTCCACTGTTTACCTGCGGGGTGCGCACTTGCGAATCACTTCCGGGGGATTCTTGTGTTTCAAATGGAAATCGCAAAAAGTAATTTAGACGATCATTATTGGTTTACTGCATTTTCGTTTTAATTGGATCCACAGAAAACCAAAAACAAACCGATATTTCAATTTTGCATTAAATTCAAATATTGAGAATCAAAAACATCCCTCGTTATTTGTTTTTTCAATGTTGGTTTTATTTAGAAAATCAAAAGAACGAATGATACACGGATTCTCCATCTACACCTGCGGACTGCCCCGCCCGACCCGCCTGGGAGTGTTTCAGTCCTGCACCGGACCTGTCCACGTTCAGCGGCCACTGGTCCACGTTCTGTAGCTAGCTTAGGCCCTAGATCATTAGCCTGTCCGTCCGGAGGAGCGGATCCCTTTCTCAAATGGGTCTCCCTCCCTGTGGGTTTCCCTAGTTCTCCCCAAGGTTTCTCACTTTTTCCCACTGAGTTTTTTAAGAGTTTTTCCTTGTCGATGCAGGAGGGTCTTGTTGGACAGTTAGTGTCCAACAGAAAGGATTGGTGATGATGTGTGCTTTATATTCTTCATGTGTTTTAACTGTTGATTCTCTGACCTGTGTTGGTGATTTCAATGGTTTTGTTAAGTCCTCTGAGATGACTTCTGTTGTGACCTAGGGCTATACAAGAATAAATTGTATTGTATTGTATTGTATTGTAAATAAATAAAGGAGGAGGAAAATCATATTTAAAAGCCTTACACAAGAAAATTAGATTCAGATTCATTTTGTTTGC